TGAATTGAATTGAATAAACTATAGGCTTAGACTACTGGAGGACATAAGGACCCCTTTTAATCATTCTATCTGTATCCTTCCATTCTGCTTTATTTGTTTGTTCAATCCCTAACACTATGTTCTCTCAGTTTTTTCTAAATAAAGTAGCTTTATCTGCTCTGGTTCTGTTTGAGAGTTCTTTACAGCAGGGAAGGTAATGACAACACATAACATGTGATGTAAAACTCAATAACTTCTCCTTTGTTAAGACATACATTTTTTGTACATACTTTTTGTCAGATCTTTGAAGAAAATAAAAACAATAGTTTATATGCTGCCTTTTTAACACATCCAGTCATGATTCTACTACATTAAGGAAACACGTACGATCCCAGGCTCCCTAACCTACAGTGATACTCGATTTGGAACAGCCCAGAAACCATCAGCTGGACTACAACAGTATGACAAATGTTTGGAAATCAAATCCCTAAGCCGCTGCTGTTTTGAAGAGCAAAACAATAAAAAGGGTGTGTCACTTTAAGCAGGAAATTACATCAGATGCCTATCTGCCTGCTGCCACTTTGCTTTTTAGAGATTTTAGAGAGAAAATTAGCGGACATGCCTACATGAGTCACACAAACACTCTCAGCAACAGTACCTTAAACTTTATTACACAAACTCCTCACTAGTGGCACTGCTAGAAATATTAATTGTGTGATTAATTCTGACTTATACAAAGTGCGTTAAGTGTCCATATTATCTCCAACTTCAGAGGCATTTGACTATAGATAGAAGAATCACATACAATGAGGCTGCAAATTTAAAATGATCTATGTGTGGATAACTTTAGACGTTAATCTCATGATCTGCAGCGAGGAATGAAAACATATTAGGAAGAGTTACTAAAATAATTGGGAAATAAAAGGGGAAATGAAAGAGGTTTAGAAATTTTCTCTTAGTTTTACTCTGAAATGCCAACACAGGAAACATTGGTGACATTAGAGGAAATGTTTGTTTTTCTTATACAAAGTGTCAGATATATTTGATATACATTACATTAGAAAAATTGTCCACTTGGGGCTTGTGTTCCTGCTACATGCAGCTTTTTAGGTCTGGGACTAGATCATGTGAGAGGATGCTCCATTAATCATCAGTCATCATTCTGCTTCATTCTATCTCTATTCTCCCACTCCACAGAATCTGTTACTTCAATCTCTAATGTTCTGCTCTCTCTGCTTTTTCTCATATAAGCTTTGTTTCATTTGTTCATGTTTGGCTGTGACTCCATCCTGGAGAGAAATATCAGCTGTGCTGCTGCCATCAACAACCTTTTCTTTTATAGATGTTGGAGATTGGCCTGTTTTTCAGTGTGGTCCTGTTTCTCTGACTGTGACTGGTTGGATGTGCTCTCTTCATCCTCTGGCATGGGAGCTGGCTCGGAGCTCGTCTGCTTGGCTGTGTGTTTCCTGGAACGGACCACCTTTTACAGCTGCTTTTTGTGAAAAACAATGCTGTTTTGCAAGTCAGTCTTTTTTTGTTTTGTATTGCCGTACAGACAAATTGCAGCTGCTGGAAGATGTCGGAATAGTGTTCTGTATACCGTTATGGTAACTGTACTTTTTCAATAAATGAACCTAGTATTTTATAGGTTCAAAGAGACACACAATCTCGTTTTATTCATTCCACTGGTAGTCTGTTTTGATCAAATATAAATAAAGGTCAGCCTCTAATTCTGGCCTCCTTCCAATAATGGCCTAGATGTACCTGAGTGAAATAAAGGTCCCGTCCTATATTAGAGGATTTACGGTAATTTGGTACTGAAAAATAAAATTTTTTTTTTTAAGTCAATTTTAAAAGATATTCATTGGAAAATCATCTGATCTGGCTCTAAGCTGTGCTCTAATCACCTTTTCCTGACAGAGATATTTTCAGAGTGTTTGTGCTTCAACCTTAACAAGCTCTTCCAGAAAACCTGGAAGAGCCAGGATTGTGTGTTCTCTGGATTGGGCCGCCTGTGGAGCTGGTTGACAAGTTCCTTTTGTATCTCTTCCTTTTTCTGTATGTCTGCTTCTGTCTCCTTTAACCCCAGTTCAGGAGGTTTCTTCCTGTTAAAAGGTAGTTTTTACTCTCCACTGTCGCTACAAGCATGCTTAGGGTGAGGAATTGCTGAAGAGTCAACGAGTCAATGCAATCAACTGGTTTTCCTGAATCTGACTTTATGATCTGGTTGAATTGTTTCTATAAAGTGTCATGAGATGACACGTGTTGTGAATTGGTGCTATAGAAATAAACTAAATTGAATTGATTGAAATTGAGAACGAGACACAGTTTTTTAACAATTTTTTTGTTCAGGTTCTCAGATAGAAAGTGGGAAATAACAACGGTTAGAACCTGCCTACTAAAAAGTAATGTTTCAAAAAGTAATTGGTCATAATTTAACTGCTTTCTGAAATGGGAAATCCAGCAGGGTATGCAGGAATCTACCCCAGAAGTTAATCTAGAACATGTATGGAATAAATTTTGAATGTAATTTTTAAAGGTTAATCTGAAAAAAAAAGAAAAAAATGAAAATGTAAAAACTTAAGTTTCAAAAGAATAAAACAGCAAAGTTTTAAATAAGGAAGTTTTTCAAAGTGTCATTTCTGGGTTGCATTTTTTTTCAGTTCTATTGATATGTTTTTTTTCTTGCATCAATAATGGAACAAAATTCACTCCATAGATTAGCACTACCCTTGCTCTGTGAAACGGGTCAGTTAACCATACAGTAGCTGGTAAACCTGTAGAGGACTGTTTTCATTCCTATCGGCAAAATGTTACTTTTGCCAAAATATTGGCCTTAAAACAATACTTGGATGCCAGTTGTTGGTTTTAAACTACATTTAAAGTCACCTAAACTCTAATTTAAAAACCAAAACAAGCTCTGATCTTTGTGAAATTAGAAAGGCTAATGATTTTAATAGTTTTCACATAAGACAAATATTTATTTCCTTGATATTAAAATTGTATTATTTCCACAAATACTTTAGGAACCAGTTTTCTTTAATCGGAAATATTATCTTATTTAAAAAAGTTAAACATGGAAGCGACAAAAAGAGAATACTGTAGAAAAAAGGCAATGCCAGCTCATACACTCACATCTTTCTGAAGTCAACAGTGTTGTATTCTGGCCAGTCTATGAAGCAGACCGTGCGTCCGGGCAGCGCTGCTGTCGAAGAGTAGAGATACTGAGGAAAGGCTAGGAGCAGAGCCAGCACCCAAATCACACCAATCACCATCCGAGTCTGAGTGGAAGAAAGCCTCTGCTTCAGAGGGTGGATTATAGCCATGTATCTAACAAATACAGAGACACACACAAAACATTACGGAGAATCTCTGAGTAGCCTCACTAAAAGCAATTCCATGATGACCTACTTTAAAATGCTTTATATTGTTCATAACAAGTTTTCCTCCCAGCAGGACACTGTGCTGCTACCATCAAAACATGGGAGCTGGCTCGGGGCTCGTCTGCCTGGCTGTGTGTTTCCTGCTGAGGGCAGCCTTTTACAATTGCCTTTTTTATCTCAGCTTCTTATCTATGATTGCTTTTGTCTCCTTGAACCCCAGTCGGCCTCAGCAGATGGCCGCTCACACTGAGCCTGGTTCTGCTGGAGGTTTCTTCTTTTTAAAAGAGAGTTTTTCCTCTCCACTGTCGCTACAAGCATGCTTAGTGTGAGGGATTGTATTTGAGTCAATGAGTCGATGCAATCAACTGGTTTTCCTTAGACAGAAAACCATGAATCGATCTGACTGTATGATCTGGTTAATAGCATCTGTTTAAACCAAATAATCAAATTTAGGAAAAGGAAAACAGGACTGGAACATGGAGCACAATGGAAATATTTGACCATGATATTTATACAAATGACGGATATACAGGGAGAGGGGTAGGTGAGAACAAAGGGTTCAGGGGAGGCAATCAGAAGAAGCGAAAACAGCTGAAAGTAATTAACCAAAGGTGAAGGGAAAAGAGTTTGCTGAAAAGGACTGAAGCCCGATTGAAACCTTGCTGATGTAGCCAGCATATGCCTGACATCCCAGAATCTCCTAAAACACTGGCATACACTGAACTTTCTATGTAGTTTTTTAAATTTTGGGCACACACACACACACACACACACACACACACACATATATATATATATATATAAGATTAGATTAGATGAGCTTTATTGATCTCAAAGCGGAGAAATTCACTGGTCCCATATTGGCCTAGTAATTAAAGAAGGTGCAAACAAGTAGGAAAAGGTGCATAAAGAATAAACAAGCAGTATACAATATAAATATAACAATATAAAGTATTCATAATGAGTCCTGAACTTATGTCCAATGACAGCCTAACTTATGCATAATGCACGGCATCGGCATCATAATGCTCATGAAATGTCATAAGCCAGTTTCCTGAGGGGGGCAGCGATGTGCCGGGAAGCACCCGGCCTGCATAAAAAGATGTCTTTTTATCGCGGTATTAAATTACCTGCTGTTTACCGCCTGCCAAAAAAAAAAAAGAATAAATAAAGAGAAAAAGACAGCAGGTTTGCTGTAGCAGCAGATTCAGCGTCATGCCTGCTAGGAAGTTTATTGGTCGTGGGTGTGAACGCAGGGAGGAGCCATCACCCTCACCTTCTCCCTCACCCTACTGTATCATGGGGGATGAAGTCTGGAGGAGAACTGATGGTTTCCTCCTGTGAACCCCCTTTATACCAAAAAAAAAACACCTCCCATGCGCCATTATACAGTAGCTAGAAGTTAGAAACACATTCAGCGGCCGTCTGGAACATGTCACATACGTTAATATGCATTGGAGAGAAGTTCTTAGTAAGTTATGCAGAAGTTATGCAAAAGTTACTCATAGGTTTTAGATAAGCTAGACGCCACGACTTATGAGTAACTCACACTTACCTGTAACCTATGGCCCACGTATGGCATACGTCGGCAGACGTACGTATGTCGATGTGTGCCAGCGTACTTCAGAGTGCTCATAATTTATACAAAACGTGCCCTTAACTTATCCAACGTATGCCAGCGTTTTGCAAGGTTTTGAGCACGGGCTTGAGAAGAATAAAAGAGTAGCTACACCTTTTAGTCATAATCAAACATTTAAAACCAAAGTAGAAGGTGTGAATGATAAAATCAGCAAAGTTAGACTAAATTTAATGATGACAATCACTTCTTCATATCAGCTTTCTCCCTTGCCATCATCTCCAGATGTTTTCCCTCATACTGAGGGAACATCCAATGAAACATCCAATGTTTCATTGGATGTTGACATACAGTGGATTTAGCATATTGTTTAATGCTTTAAAGAGAACACACCTGTCCAGAGCTATGGCCGTCATGGAGTAAATGCTTGCAAATATGGCGGCAATGGGGAAGAAGTTGTGGAAACGGCAGTAAATCAATCCAAAGTACCACTCATTGTGAACGGCATAGGCAAAGTTGATCACTGTGTTGAATGCTGACATGGCAGCTTCAGCAAAGGCAAGGTTCACCTGCAGAGGAAAGAAATACGTTATTATGATTCATACACCTAAAATAACTTATAATATCCATATTAAAAAAAATAAACCAGTTGTGAGCATGGTAAGGATCCACAAAGATTTATAAAGGGGAATTCAGAGTAGATTTCTCTGTCACTACACGTTAGTCCTGATAACTGTCCTTTTTTGACATTTGGTTAAATACTGGAAAAAAGGTGGATTCTAAGGTGAAAGAGTATAATGAAGCAGACAAAATTAAAACACTTTGTGAATTTAAAGGTTTAAATTTCTCTTTAACATTGCAACAAATAGCTTCAATAGTAATCCCACTCATTCTGTATTAAGGTATATCTCTCTCTGTGTGTATATATATATATATATATATATATATATATATATATATATATATATATATAAAGATAGCAGACACTGATATTGATCATTCCCTCAAGTGTCTTAGTGTTGACCGTGCTCCACGTCGGCTGCTGTCTTAGATGCTGAAACCAAACAGCAGCTCTTTCACAGCAGTAATATTTGTTCTGGCTGTAATTGCATTTATCCCAAGTTGCTGCACAGCTAATCTACACCACATCTGAGATGATGCCAAATACTTATCCCCTTTTCCAACTAATTAGTCAGTAGGAAGCGTTGAGAGAGACAGGCTGGGGAGAGAAGATGTATTGTCATTTGTAAAGTCCTTTGAATTGAGAAGGCGGGTGGTTGCCGGCAGTCTGGAGCTGTCCAGTTCAGGGAAGCAAAGCAGGGAACCATTAACGATGAAGGAGGATGCAGCCCAGGAGGCTGGGTTGGGGAGAGACTGAGTGTCACTCCAACCCAAGAACGCACTGGTTCAGCTTGTTGACCTAAGTTATCTACAGTCTGGCAATTCTGAATGTGACCTGAGATTGTTATAAGAAATTTCCAAACAGCGCTGACGTTGAAGCTGGTGCTTCATCTTCTCTCTATAGTTGTGCTTCCCATCAGTTTTTCCTCATTTCCTTTAAAGGAATAGTACACCCAAAACACTTTCATCTGGTTTGGTCTGCCGCGGTTTCCGTAGGCTCGTGAACTCGCAGACGCGCGCTTTTAGGAAATCCTATACACTACTGTTTATGCTTTAAAAACATTCTAAATGACTTTGTTTCGAGTAAATTATGGACGCTACCCACTCAGGACACTTGGAATACATTGGACGAGCAGTATGGAGGAATATTGACACGTTT